CCGCCAAATAGTGTCTTATTTTGAAAATATGGATGTTTTGCTCGTTTCTTTTCCTGTTGGTGTGACGTAATCTTTAAAAATTGACCCCGGCACAGCTCCGGCATCCGACAAAAATAGGATCTGTTGAAATTTTGACGGATCGCCGTCCACTCACCCCTGCCGTGCACAGCCAGTGTAAACACTCTGATTATAATGGGTGTGTATTTGCTGCGGAGATTGGAGTGGAGTGGAGCGGAGACGCAACGCATGTAGTGTAAATTGGGGTTACTGTCCTCAGTTCACAAACACGTATTGATTGTTGTTCAAAGGAAACTTGATCCTGTCCCAGATTCATTAGAACATTTCAGCATCAAATTCAACATGAGTGAATATTTGGATTAAAAAAACTCCAAAACAATAGTTTATCAGTTTGAACATTAAATATATTGTCTTCGTAGTGGATTTGATTATAGACTGAAAAGGATTTACAAATCATCATATTTGTTTTTATGTTTTACACAGCCGCCCAAGTTCACTGTAATTGTGATTATAATGTGTGAAACTGGTTTGGCCAAAGTCAGCAATGGTTCATCTGATGGAATGTAGGATAGATTTAGAAGATGTAGACATCAGCCAGGGTCACTGGGGTCCTGTGCTTAGTGCTGCGATAAGCTTGATACTGTCGTGTCTTGGTTCTGTTCGGTTCTGAGGCTGTCAGCGGCTTGACTCTTCTCGTCTCCCTTGTGTGCTCACTTCGGCTCCGGGTTGGTGGCTGCTCACTCTGGCTCTGGGGCTGGTGAGGCTGCTGCTTCGGTGCTGATCTGGGGCTGCTTCAGCTGGTTCGGCTGTCGGTGGCTTGTTCTCCGGCTGGCTGGCGGTGGCTGGAAAATCAGTGAGCTTCCTCCTGAAGACTTGTTGACGGTTAAAAAACTCTAGGCTAACATTTTAATAAAGAAAAGAGACGCTAATCTTCAGTTCTGGACATGTTTATTCACGAGAGACACCCAAGCGCGTCCACACAGCTAAGATGTTATTCTAACTCTGCCCCCGAGACCAGCGTGCGCGTGCCCCTGTCGGCCACGCTCGTTCACATTCCTTAAAGGGCCAGTACACGAAAATATACGACAATACGATTTGGTCTAATTACCTTCCAGTCACCTCTGTCAGGTCTTGATCACTATCAACCATGTGAGGAGGTGTCAGGAACTGTCCAGCAGTGTGAAAATCAAAGAAACAAATCACTTCAGTCATGGTTAGGAGCATAATGTCTCCACTTAACTCAAAACAAGATACACTTATTCTTTATGAGTTTAAATGTTTTAAATGTAGATAGACAGATATTCTTAATTTCAAACAAATTAAATAAAAACAAGAATATATATATGTACATTCATATATGTACATATAAACACTTACACAAGAATACAAAAACAATATTTCTTTCATTTTAGCTACTCCTTTGAAAGGAGTGAGGAGTTTACACTTTTTAAAATTTCTACCATTTATACTATTTATCATTCTTCAATATACCTTTTACTTCAAAACGTATTATATCAGTAAATTAAATAAAACATGCACAGCCTTGCCAATAAACATACTGGATATGATGTTACATAAAATGCATAATTTTATACTCTATTTCTCTAAATCACTTATTTTTGTGTCTTCATCTTCCATCTAACTATTTAGACATTTTTTGTACATTTTTTATCTTCAAAAAATGTGCTAACATGTTGTTTCCAAGTTTTACATGTTACAAAATCAGAACCAGGGTGATTACAGTTAACTAAAACTAACTAAATAATGAAAACTGAAATTGAAAAAAAAACCAAGCATTTTAGTTAACTGAAATAAATAAAAACTGTAATAAAATGAAAAAAACAATAACTAAAACTGTTTAATTTTTTTTACAAAACTAAAACTAACTGAAATTATAGATAGAATATCCTTAGTTTTAGTGTTTGTCAATTTATTTTAAGTCATGCGGATCTTTTTTTATTTCTTTTTTCCAAATCGAGTAGTAACACTTAACACTTGTTTACAATCTGCTGCTGCTCAGCATCACCTGCCAAATGATGACAGCAAAAGTTGGGAGAAAGCGCAACGTCCACTTTAGGATTTCTTTGAATATGACTGTGAGAAAAATAAAAGCAAGTCTTGTAGTGGAAACAGGTGGAATATTCTCAAGGTAAAAACTGTATGAATCAAGCTCACACAAGATGGCTGACGATTACTATCTTGACATGCTAGCTTCTCTCAGTAGCTCCATGAAAAACAACCAACAGGTAGCAGCAGGTTGGAGACAACTATTGTCATTGTCCTAAAATAATCACACAAGTCCTTAGCTGGAAAAATTGAGTTACGCAATAATTTTAGGAAGGTGTCGCTATATGGACTGCTTTAACCAGTTACCAAATAGCTGCTGGTTAGTGAACTCACAGGAACATCACAAGCTGGAGGATGCATTGGAAAAGAAACTGTTACAAAACAATACTATAAGTAATACAATCTAAACTAAAACTAAGCATTAAAAATGCAATAATAACTATTAAAAACTAGCAAATCCATTGTAAAAACTAATTAAAATTAAATGAATAAAAGAAAAAAGTCATTGAAATAAAACTAATCTATACTGAAAAATCCAAAACTATTATAACCTTTTTACAGGTTTATTTAACAATTCATTTACAACCGACTGGATCAACATTTGCATGTAATTTGCCATGTAGCACAATGTTTCAAATTCAAACAAACTGCTGACCTTTACTACCA